CAAATTCTCTCCATCCTAAAAACTTCTCTGCCGGCGACGGCTCCTCCCTTTTTTTACTGTTGTTATAATACGCCACTGCTATCCACATCTTTCCGCCCCATCCTTTGACTTTCTCAACCAGTTCTTGACTACCGCTACCATCCTCTCAGCTTGTCCATTTGAACTTGGATGATACGGCGGAGCTAAAATGTGTTTAGCTCCATTTTCCGCACAAAAGACTTTGAATTGTTTACTAATAAAAGCAGGACCCCCATCCGCCACTACTGTCCTACTGACCCCAAATTTAACCCATAAATTTTTCAATACTTTTATCACGACTTGAGTGGTTAATCCTCACTTCCTCATACTCTACCCATTTTGAAAAAGCACCTACCACCAATATATATATTCTATTCTCAAAGTCAAAAAAATCCAAGTGGATGCGTTCCCAAGGCTGAGTTGCTTTCGGCCACACACTTTCCTTATCCTTTCGAGGCATCGGAGCCCAAGAATTACATTTAACATAAGCTCGGCTTATATTTTCAATGTCTCTGTTCATTCCTGGCACCAAACATATTCCCGTCCCCATTGCTTCATCCTCTCCATTCCTTGATGTTAGCATGAATCATCGCCATTACAGCTTCCCTTAACTTGGACGGTATAACACTCCTATTTCCTCGCACCAATCATCTATTATTGCCAATTCCTTTTGTATATATTTATAGGTCTTGTCTCCGTCTTGCCACGTTTTCCGTCCCATAAGGCAAGCTTTGATCCATCTCAGTTCCCGATCCTTCAAAGTAACCCTTTTAATTTCTTCCCATGTCACGGGCCCGCCTCCTCTAGATGTTCCAACCATAGTCCTAATCAGTCCTTGCTCATTTTCTTTTTCCCGTTCCTCTTGCTCTTTCTCCCCGAAATCTTTCCCCGCTCCGCATCTGGATAAAACGTCCGGTAAATAATTTTCTCTCCCTCTGCGATATTTCACTGGACGTCAAAACTACCCACTAGCAGTAACCAACTTTGTATCCGGGGTGATAGCATTAATTTATTATTGTCTTTTTTGAAAAGATATACAAGCGGCTTATGGTTCATGTAAATAACAAATCTGTGTCTAATTAAATATTAACGACACTTAGTTAGTCCGAAAATAACGGGCTTCTTGCTCAATCACTGCATACCTGGTCTCTGCTGCCCTATTCTTGAGATAAATAACACAGGCCTTTCAACTTCATCAATATAATGCAACAACGCTCCTCCTACACCTTTATTAGAGGCATACACCGCTAATATGTCTTCCTATTCATTATTAAAACATACCAGCACCGGTTCTTTTCCCATTCTACATTTTAATTCTTTGAAGGACTCCTCTTGCTCATCTGTCCAATCAAACTTCCGCCCTTTCTTTAACAATTGATGTAAGGGCGCTGCTATTAGAGCAAAGCCTTCCAGAACCTATAATAATAATTTACCATCCCCAAAAAGGCCTGTACCTCTGTTTTAATATTAGGTCTTATCATATTATTAATTCTTGTCCAAAGGCCGCACCTCCTTCCCAGTGATCTTATGCCCCAGATATGTCACTTCGGTAACCCCCAACACACTTTTCTCCGCGCTGTCAATCCTTTTTCTTTGATTCTTCGAAACACTTCTTCCAATCTCCGTTCATGTTGCTCGGGAGTTCTTCCCGTCACCAACACATCATCCATATAGTAGAAAACTCCCTCCATTCCATGGAAAACAGCAGCCATTGTACGCTGAAAAAGAGGAGCTGAGACACTAAGTCCGAATGGTAATCTACATAATACGAACAATCCCTAAGGCGTAGTAATAGTTAATAATTTCTTTATTTCCGGTTTTACACATTATTGCAGATATGCTTTATAGAAATCTTCTTTTGAAAAATAAACGCTTCCCTTTAAATTGGCTAGTATTTCTTCAATTCTTGGCAACGGATAATTATTCACAACCCATGGATTTAACGCTACTCGAAAATCTGCTCATAAACGAAGTTTACCATTGGCTTTCTTCACAGGCTTAAGTGGAGTTGCCCACTCACTGTATTCCACAGGACAAACAATTCCTCTTTGTACCCATTGATCCAATTCCAATTCTACTTCTCAAACGGTAACCGTTGTAAGGGAAATAATTTTGCATTGATCCAATTCCAGTTCTATTTCTCAAACGGTAACCGTCATAAGGGAAATAATTTTGGAACACAACCATCTTTTAACTTAATATCTACTTCATAATCTCTGAGGCATCCATATCTTCGTTGAAAAATTTCTGATAACTTTGTACTAATCTCTGAACTCCTTCTTGCACTTGAGTCATAGCCAATTTTCTTCCATCTTCTTCATTAGTTATCAACTTTTCTTCACTGGGCAGTGTCCTGTCCTTCATTACTTTCTGATTTTCTGAAGTCTTCGCATTCATCACTTTTTGCTTTGTTTGCTGCTGTCCTACCTCCCTTTTCCCAATTCCTCTTTCCTCCTACTTTTAATATCACGACCCTCCTTAATAGGTCCAACGTGCCCTGGGTAATTTTTATCTATTTTCTCTTTAACGTCATTTTCCTTTATTTCTTTCCTAGAATTCCTTTCCACTACTTTATTATTAGAATCCTTTTTCTTTACTCCGCACCCAGCATTATTCTTTTTATTTCTCTTCTATAATTACTTTTATTTACTTCGCTCCTTGAATTATTTTTCCTTGCTTCGCTCCTTGTTTCGCTCTTAGAATTGTTTTTACTTGTTTCTCTCCTTAAATTATCCTCATTGTTTCGCTTCTAGAATTGTTTTTCCTTGTTTCGCTCTTTAAATTATCGCTCCATGTTTCGCTCCTTGAATTATTTTTCCATGTTTCGCTCCTTGAATTATCGCTCCTTGTTTCGCCCCTAGAATTATTTTCTCTGGTTCCCTCATTAAACGTGGTCTCAATTCCCGGGAACACATTCTCTCTCAAGGTCATAACGGCATATTCCTCATCTTTATTGGTACAAATATACCCCACCATGAAAATACCCCCCAAAAACTATACCATTAACTAATGCTAGTTATCCAATCCCATCCCAACACCGCTTCTATATTCCGATTGATAACCCATAAATCTAATATTTTAATTCTTTCCTCCAATGTTGCTACAATCTCCACCCTACCCATCTCAGCCAACAGAGTCCCATCGAATTGTATTATTCTTAACCCCTCATTCTCTATCCTTTCACTGGGCCAAATACTCTGATATCCATTATATCCAATTACCGAAATAGCTGCTCCCGTATCAAAACATGGGAACCATTCTCCCACCTAAATTTATCATCACTCTCGGAAAAGGATCATGTACACTAGCTAGCCCTTCTTGTAGCATATTGACACCTCCCTCTTCATTTGTTTTTCTCTGATAACGCTCCTCCTTTGAGGGGGGGGGGGGCAAGAGGGAAAATTCCGTTGTAGAAATTTATCACTTTTTGTGAATATCATTTTAAGCTAATAAAAAATATCCCCCTTAGTCCTCCCCCCCCCACTTCCTGACCCCCCAAAATGTATGCATATATCTTAAGCAATAATTTGAAAGAAAGAATGTAAAGTTGATATTTTTTAAACTAAAACTATTCATCATAATTTATACATTTTTGGAAAAAAGCATTTGTATATAAAAAAAAGTGAACCAAAAATGTTTTTTTTAAGAAATGGAGGATAAGCCAAATAAGTTTTAAGATAAAAGCGAAATGTAAAAATTATTAATAATAGATCCATAAAATTACTAAATAATATAATATATCAAATATCATTTTTTATAAAGTGTGTAATTTAATTTATTTATCTTAATAAAAGTAAAATATAATTATAAAATTATAGATAAAATTAAATCATAAATTAAATAAAAAAATTAAAGCACAATACTTACAGTGTAATATTATATGTAGTAGATTTACAGTATATCTAATTTTATCAATTATCATATGAAAATCAAATTAATTTTACCAATATAGCGAATTATATATTTTACAGAAAACTATAAAATATTGAAAGGATATCAGAAAATATATTTTAAAGACATTATGGGATGAATAATATGAAGATTAATTTTTAATATCATTTCTTATTTAAAATAAATAGATGGCATTAAATAATTGAATGCAAATTATTGCTATATTTGTTATCAAGAGCATTGATTAGTAAAATTTGTTAAATTATTAACTGTAATATATTGTGTAACTGTCAAATATGTCTGTAAAAGTGGAATTATACCAAGTATTTTATAACAATTCTATATAATAGAAGAATTACAACTTATACTTATTTGGAATAAATGATTACCATGCTTTTATATTAAGGTACTTAGACCAAGGTAATCCGGCCAAAGGCCGGGTAAAAGCAGACCGAAGGCAAGCCTAAAATGGGGTATGGGGTTGAAGTCCCCAGCAATTTTTTAATTCCCCCTCCCCTAGGAAAATCCTGGCTACGCCTATGATTAAATTGCTTAAAAAGTAATTAGAAAAGTGGGAAAGGAACCCTTAAGTTGCTTCAAAGATGACAAATCAATGAACAGGTAAAAACATTTGGAGAGAGGGGTGGTTATACAAGTCAATCTAAATGAAAACAAAATAGATAGAAAATCATTTTAAAAACTCCAAATTTAAAATATAAGATAAGGTAAAGATTAAGGCATACTGAGATAAAAAATCATTAAATATATTCAATGAATACTGCAAAATGCAAAATTAGATAAAAATAAGGAAAAATTTAATTAAAAAAAATACTAATAAAAAGAATGAAAAAAAAAAATATTTAACTTCATTTAGAAAAAAGAAAACGTTGCTGCTCATGCCTCTTTATGCTATGTATAAAAGTATGATTTGAAAAAAGATAATATAATTAGCGTCATTTAAAAAAAAATAAAACGTTTTTGCTCTTGCCTCTTTTCTTTATTCTATGTAAAAAAATGATTTGAAAAAAAAATTTCAGTATTTTAACTTGTGGATACAATATTTATCCTTCCTTATTTTTTGTTTGTAACGTTATTATGAATTTTTAAATTTTTATTATTCCTTTCATTTATATACTTATTGAAGTGCGAAAAGAGTTATTATCTTTAAATAGTATGCAACGCTTATAATATAAAGAAAATGGGCTCATATAATGAACTTCCAAACAAGGAAAATTTACATAAAATAAATGTAAAATATACGGTAATCATTAATGTAATTGTTAATAAACATGTATTTTATAGGGTTCTTTGAAGCCTAAAAATAGTATAAAGGTTACATCTCCATTTAAAATTTTTGGTGACCGTTTTATTCCTTGTCGTACAGGATTGGATTGGAATCTTAAATCAGGGATATATAATGTAAAATTTGTATTTGACATTATATATAATATATTGCTAATTTATTTTTTAATTTATAGTTATAATAAAAAAAATATATATAAGTCATTTAAGTTTAAGCTAATTATCATGCAAATTCTAAAATTTGAAATACTTTCTTACATTATTAGTTGACTAGTTAGACAGTGTATTATATATCCTTTGACACTAGAATTATATTGATTTTATAGAAAGTATAATATAGTTAGCATAATGTCATCAAAGCTTGCATAATAAATAAATTCATTTAAATATATTAGTTTATATATTTTATTTATAAATAAAAATTTAATCTGTTAATCAATTATATTTTTAATTATATAATCATAATTGTAAAAATTAAAGAGTTTGCTAACTTTGATACTTTTTGCTGATAAATATATATTAAAAACTACATTAATAAGTATTAAAATATATATATATGGATTGCATTGTTAATTAATTAAGTCATTTACTTATTTAAGTCATATCAAGGTAGATTTGATTAAATCTTTTAAATGTGATTGCCCTTTTTAATTAAGAACACTAATTGGATGGATTAACTTTTATTATATAAATATTCTTATAAAGTTAGATCTATATAATTTTCTATGATTCAATCATATATTTTTCAATAATAATTCACACGAATTCAAATCCAATATTTACATTGTTTTTTATTGTGAATTGCAAAATATTCTATTTCAATTAGGTTATATTTTATTTTAGTAAAATTTTATCTTGCCAAAATTTAAAGTATATTTTCTTACATTTTTTAAAGATACTGGATATAAAAAATTTTATCAACTAAAAAAATTCTATTTATTCTATTAATAACTATGATTGGGGAAAATATTTGAATATTCAGATATACAAGGAGATATAATTTTCTAAATAAAGTTATTTCTGACATATCTTGGGTTACATGAAGAAAAAAAATGTAAGATGCATACCCTGGAGCCTTGCTGTTATGATATTTTGGGATCTAGAAGAACCTATTTTGAGTGTGATGAAATGTCAGAGGCTTAAACCAAGTATTTTATCTGAAGCTGATACATTAAGATTCAATATAAAAGCCATTTTTTTGCATTGGGATAAATTAATAAATTTATACCCAACAGTTTTTTACTATATTTTCAAAAAAAAAGATCTGAATTTGATTAGGTTATAAAAATCACAAATAATATTATATTACAACTTAGAAAATTATGTCATCATATTGACCAAGAATTTAATGATATTTATAAGATTGTTGAGCATGATTTTGAGATTTACAAGTCTGACTTCACCCATACAAACAAATCAATATTAACAAGGAGGTAATAGAGGATTTTTATAAAACAACCACTTTTATTCTGGGTAATGATGCATAGCATTAAACTTTCTTGATTTTTGTGTTTTTTATAAATATTAAATAGAATAGCAATTTTATCCTTATATTCAAAAAAATTTGATGATTTTGAGAAGCATATTTGGCCTAGCCTGTTCAATAAATGTATTACAATCTAATGGTTCTGGGTTCAACGCCAGCAAGGGCCATCTTTTTTTCTTAAGCTAAATTGGTGGTTCCGATTTTGGAGGGATGATATATAGTAGATAAACTCGACAACACAATTATGTCAATATTCATTAAAAAATAACTAGGTCTTATTGCATTTTAGTGAATTTTGATCTTTGTTTACTAACAAGTGGTTTAACATCATATAAGATTACCCTTTTATTCCACTCTTGGAAAAATTTTTTATTTAAATCAATGAACGATTTGTGATTCATGAAATGCCTCTATCCAATTTACAAATACTATTTACCTATGAAAAAATATAATAATTTTGGTCATTTTTATTAGTGGATATAAATGTATCTGAAAGCCAATTAATTTCAGAATTTTAATCTTGGTATGAAAGATTAATTTTATTTGATAATCTTTAGAACTTTTTCCAAATACATTAAGATTACTATAAATTTTGTCAACAATAATTAAATTGGTACAAGCACAAATGAGATTAAAATCGATTTGGACTAACTCTACTTATTATACAGAACAACTTATTGAAAAATTGGCACATCAAATAAAAAATTTGAATTTCCATTTGTGCACAATATTTTGATCAACTTTTTTAATTATTATACAATGTATTAAAAAGTTATAGACAAAGAGGGTCATTCCATGACAAATCAACCATGATTCGGCCAACCCCCTTCGATTTTTTTAAAATTTGGTAAGCAAAGAAAGGGTAGTGTAGTAAGAAATAGCCATATTTTTGCCTCTTATCATTTATATTTTTGGAGATATTAGGGTTCAAAGTGGCAAAAATGACGTATTTTTACCATTATCCGCCTTTATTCAATTAAGCATATCTTAAAAACTACATAATTGTAAATAACAAATTTAATATCAAAATTACGTACAAAGATTCTACTTTGTCTGGATGGGTTAAAAACTTTATATATATTTCTTCCTGCTTTTAATTTTTCACTAAAACAAAGCTAACCACCAATTAGAATCATAGGATACGTTAGGTATCCTGATATTTCTTCAATAATTAAACTTTCATCATTATATGATAACTATTCTATAGTACTTTCTATTGAATTGGAATACATTTTACTTTTAAATTGATGTAGATCTGTTGGAATCAAGGTGTGTATTTTGTGTGTTCCAGGTATAGATCTAGTTTTTGAAAATCTTTCCCTGAGTAATAGATCTTCGTAATCATAATTTATTTTGGTCATCTATTCAAAATATATCACATTAATATTTTCTTTATTTAACTTGTACAATTCATATGATGTGGTTATTTACTTTGAGTAAGGCCTTGTAAACTAGCTCTAGCGGTTAATCTTTTAACAGTGCCACCAATCCCATCACAAACACTTTTCCCGTGTGCTATAGGAGAAAAATGCCATTTCGCCTGTACCCCGAAATCCATCTCATGATGGCAAATATTAATAAAATTTTTACGATTTTTATAATCGGAAAAATAAAAAATTTTATTTGACCTACAAATTTTATTAATTAAAAAATTTACCAATGTTTTTTTGAAATTATGTACTGCTATTGTATTGTGTTGCAAAGATTTGGATATCATTACATAATTTAGGCAACAAATATTGGCAAAATTATCTTTATAATATATAACAAAAGGGTGAGCAAGGATTGAGCCCTATTCCAATGATAATTTTGTACTTCATCCTGAAGTATAAAGCTATAGTTTTCTTAAAAATCACATAAAATTAAATATTGGTCTTCGTCTAAGTTCAATTTTAGATTGTTTTGATACAACGATTGTTGCGTTGAAATAAAAAAATGGATAAAGATTCCATTTTTTCAAAAAAGGCATTGATAAATTCACCTACTGGTTTGGTTATTGTTTCAAGAGTTGTTCTATCTACGGATAGCCATTGTTTGTATGTTATAAATTCGATGTCCTTAGAAAGAAACAATATTTCTATTTGATCGCGTAAATGTGTTGACCCTGGACAATTATCACATTTGCCCATATAAATTGGATGGTTGAGGCGAATTACAAATTAAGTGTAAAATATGTTTGTATGTTTGGGCAACATATCATTGGTTAAATTGGGTAAATTTGATCCAATGATCATTAATTTAAAATTTTGATGGTAGCTGCAATCACATACATGTGTACGACTACCTCCAACGAGTATACAATTTTTGAGCGAATGCTTGCAAATTTCGAAAAACCAATTTTAACATCAGGCCTCATTTCTTTAAAAAATATATGAATTTCTTTCAAATTATCTAAAATTAATCTCTTATGTATGGTATTCTTTTTTCCGTCTTTAGTCAAAATCGAAACGCAATCTTTCTTGCCTGGCATGATTCTGCTTATTTCGTCCATACAATAAAAGTCTTATACAATTTTAACTGTATATTCGTCTATAGTTTTTCCAGGCTTGGGGTTAGGTGTTGATAGAAATCAAAATACCAATAAATTAATTAAAAAATGAATTAATATAGTGGGCATGTATTATTGAATGATTAATCAATTTTAAAATTTTTATTTATTTTATTGATTGAAACACTTATTTATTGTTATTTAATTTAGTAAGGCTATGCCGATTTTAGAAAATCCGATCCAATATTTATATTGCTTTGGGTTATTTTATGATAATACTTTTATTTTGTATATAATTTCATAATAATAATAAATTAATTTGTCATATTTTAAAAATATCAAATTATTTTAAAAAATTGAGTAGAGAAAATTTTGATATAATTTTTTGGCGTCTATGAAATGCACAAGATTCTGATTCATATATTCAAGAACTATAAACTTGGTTAAATATATTTTATTAATATTCATTAAATATATGCTATATGGGCAAAATTTTTATAATAAATTATAAATAAAGTAATAAATTGAATTTCTTTTATTGATATACAATTTATATAATTGAACGAAAGCCCCATTTATTGTTATTTTCACTTACAAGATGAATAATCCTTTAAATTATATCAAATAGTCCAAGAAAAACCATTAAAAACTGATTAATATATAATTTTATACAAAGACGCCCCCTTTCGGGAAAGTATTCATAACCTTTCTACATTTTTATCGATTTTGAGAATGTTGATGGCCGCGTCCCAAACCAATTTATTTATATAAATATAAAGGAAGAGTTTAATAATTTATACAAAATTTTTTAAAAAAATTGAAGGTCGTATTATTTCCAAAAAATCGTTTTTAGTCTTAATATATTAAATAAAATGGCCGGAAATTGGTAAAAAAAATTAAAATTTTTTTTTATAAAGTAGAATCTTTGTACGTAATTTTGATATTAAATTCGTTATTTACAATTTTGTAGTTTTTAAGATATGCTTAATTGAATGAAGGCAGATAATAGTAAAAATACGTCATTTTTGCCACTTTGAACCTTAATATCTTCAAAAATATAAATGTTAGGTAGGAGGCTAAAATTTTGGCTATTTCATAGTTACATTGACCTTTCTTTGCTTACCAAATTTTAAAAAAATCGAA